CAGCAGTAAATCTTGGAGCTCAGAAGTACTGAGCTATTTCAGTCATTTTATTCTTTGTTTTATGGTAGCATAATATTTTACAGTATCATGTGCTACAGTTATTTATATGGTTCTGATTTTTCACTATAGCCCATCTTACTTTAAAAGGTAACATTCATAGAGTTCTCTGCAGTAAAAATTATAAATTTCATTGATTTTAATGGGAAAAACTATGCATTTCTAAGACCCCAAATATTACCCATTAGTGCCACACCAATATTGCTCAAATGGACAAAGTTTACTTACATAGTCAATATTCTGTTACACAACTCAACCATTTCCTGTGAATAATTACCCTATAATATGCCTGCCTGTCTCATTATTTACAATTTATACATCTAAGATTTTGATGTATTTGTTCATCTTACAAATAGTCGCTAAGCACCTACTATGAGTCATACAGTTAGGGTGCTGGGAAAACGGTGACATACAAAACAGAATTCCCTACTCTGAAGGAAATTACCTTCAGAGACAGCAGATAAGTAATACGTGAAGAATGCTAGATAGTGATATGTCCCAGAGACAAAACCATGAAGCAGGGAAAGTGCCTCACTCCAAAGGCTTTTGAATAAAGATCAGAAAGAGGGAAGGAGTAGCTGTGAAAGTGTCTGGAATAAAAGTATTCCTAACTAAGATGTTCTCTAAGAACAGACAAATTTTTCTGACTGAGAAATGGCCAGTCTTTTGTGTCCTGCAGTTCACCGTTTGATTTCATGTCCTTCATCACTTATCAGCAGTGGGAGTTCCCACTCCAAAGCATATTTTCCTCTAGTGTCTTCTCCGCAAAAGAGGGAAAGGTGACCACAGTTTTCTGGGAACAATGAATCACTTAAAATATAAAGCCTAAGACAAGGGGAGAATGGGCTTGGATCCCACTGTCTCCTGGGATCAGAGGCACTGGCAGGGAAAATGTGGTAGCCCTCCAACAGGGAGACTGGGGAGCAATTTGTCTCTGCTTGAGGCCACACAACAGAAAGAGGGGACCCCAGTGATTGGATAGAAAAGGACTCAGCCCATGGGAAAATGAGCATATTTTCTATTTATAAACAAGTGTCTGCTTATCCAGAGGCTTTGTCCGGATGTAAAACCCAGCCTTTCTAATTATTAGTTGGATGATCACAGACACATTGCTTCATCTCCCTGAGCTGCATTTTCCTCTATGAAATGGGTGTAATAATAGGAATTATCTCATGGGAGATTACATGAGATCAGAGAAGTACATGTTTATCCTAGGTGTCTGAAATATAAGTAAACTCTCAGTCAACAGATGTGCCATCATTGTGGTGGCTTTGACAGCACATACAGTACTTAAGCTATTATCATCATCACCATCACTATTCCCTGACCTCAACAGGGAATACACCAAGTACAGGGCTAAAGAAGGCTTTTTGTGTTTGGTACCAGGGATCGAACTCATGACCTCGCACCTCTCAGGCAGGTGCTTATACCACTGAGCCAAATCCCCAGCTGAAGGCATGATCTCATAGAACTTAGAATTTTTTAAAAATGCTCTAGGAAGTAGGTACACTTCAAGATTTTCAGGAGTGGGGTTGATTTACAAACAGGCTTCCCTGGCATCAGATCAGGGGGAGGATGGGGAAAGATACAAAGGAGCCATTTCAGAGCCATCAAAAGCACCTATGAGAGACAGGATGCTGAGATACTATGACCAAAACGCTGCTCGACAGTAAATGCCTGTGAAATGATAAAGAAGCCTGCGGTGAGAAGCATCCAGGGGCCAAAGAACCCCTCGTGGTTTCATTCTGTGTCTCCTTAGTCCCAGTTTGTTCTCAGTTGCATGGAAACAACCAAAGCTGACAACCAAAGCGTTCAGCTACAAATCTAGCTCACAGCTTCAAGAGAACTAAGCATATAAATCTCAGGGTTCAGATGTCTCTAAAAATAATACATTACATTTTTCTTTTGTTGGGAAGCTCTGAGTAACAGTTCAAAATGCGGCTCAGGTCTGACCCAGGTCTGCATCCTCACTCATCTTGAATCTTGTACTGTGGACAGCTGCATAAGCTCTTTGGGCTTCATTGTCCTTGTTGGGGCAGTGGAGACTGAAATTATATCTACCTGTAAGGGACTATGGGGGAAAAATGGGATGATGTACAGTATATAAAAGATGCAGTGCATAACCCAGCACCTAGTAAATGTATATTATTATGACTGAAATAATCTCCTGGATAGATGGATGGTTTTCTGTTAAATGAGGAGAGTATAAATAGAAAACGAGAAGAGGAACAAGACACAGAGACAATGGAGGCAGATTGCTAAAAGCTAATTCTGGAAGCCAGGTACTTATGACTGTTTAAAAAAATCCTGAGAGAGGAAGAGAAAAAAGCTGGCAAGGACTCAAAAGGCACAAGCTTAGCTTTGCTTTTTGCCAAGGTTTCACCCATCTGGCCTTGGCTTCTCTGTTGTTTTTTCCTTCCAAATAGCATCTGAGAAGCCTGGTGGTGAAAGCCAGGGAAAGGAGATAGATCATTTCTGAATTACCCCAAAGTTCCACACTCAGTGAAGGCATTTAAGAAATACACATATTTTTCTTCTGCAGCACAGAAATTCCTTTGAGGCTAATAGAAGAGGCAGACCTGTCAGGTGAATCCAGCGACCACAGGCTGACATAATCCTATTGCTTTTTGGCTGACAGCTCATGCAGAGAAAAATCCTCTTTGATCCAGATAAAGGTAAATTTAGTTTAAATCCCAACACAAGATTCTAACCCTCCACAATCAGCTTCTTGTCCTGGACTGTGATGGTTTTGGATACCACATATAGCAGAAACCCTATCAATACTTTTTTTTTTTCTGTTTGAGTTGTAATAATTTAATCATTGCTAAAGGCGAACAGTTGAAAGGGTAGAAGAATTCATTATTTGCAGGATCGAAGGAAACAAATGAATACAATGCAATCTGTCCTTGGAGCTGTTAACAGCAGACATTCTAGCAGACTATCTCATATGGGTGAACATACAGACAGTGAACATAAAACTGCCTGAGGGATGAAATATTCAGACAAATAAAACACATGGTTAAGCACATCATTTGCTTTCTTTTATGTGAAGAATGGCTGGTCTGAATCCACTCCTATGGCATTAAGAATTCTGATCAACTACAAAACCAGACAAAATTGCAGTTCTAAGATAGATTTGCAGTATGATCTCTTTTGATGTGCCTTTAGAAACATGGTAATTTAAGAGACCATGTTGAAGCCTGGATCTAAATATTAGAATGTGAGACACGTTTAGGAGGAAGATCAAAGGGCAGTTTTTACATTATACAAAAAACTATCTTGACCCTGTAAAATAATTGCTTTTATAAAATTAAATAGCAGTTGAAGCTATGTATTATCATCAATCCCATCTGTTCAGTGCATACGTGCGCATGCGTGCGTGCACACACACACTTTTTCTTAAGAAGAGAAATGCAACGTGTGTATCAAAGTTTTGCTGAATTGCTTCCCTGACCTTGCACCCTTGCAACACTTATGATTTGGATGTCTGCCTTTTTTTCTAACACAAACTCAGCACGGTCAGCCTGTGCAGAAGGTGACTTTGGAGATATGAGTACCTCCGGCAGCTAGTTACACACAAGGAAATCCTCCCATCACTGCATTCAGAGTTTGCTGGGTATTCAGCCCTTTCTCTCAGCAGCCTCACCCTCTCTGGAGTTGGGCCTACCAGCTTTCCCCTTTGAGGTGTGCAGAGGATGCACGTCCCTCAGGTCAGCGGTGGTGAACCTACCACATGTATTCTGCAGTGAGCTGTTTATCAGTGAAAGATTTAAAAGGTTCTCCATCACTGCTTTAGGTGGTGTTGCCAAGGCTGTGCACATCTCTGCTCACTCCTGCAGAAGCCTCAGCTGGCAACCATCAACTCTGAGTTGGGCATGCAGCCGAGGCTGAGACCCAGAGTAACTACACAGATTTTTGTTCTCAGTGGGATGCAATATGTAAGCTTAGGCTTATGCTTTAAGGTTTGGGATTCAATTTTGCTGATCAGATCTGTGTGTTTCCCACACCCCAAAGCAATTTTTCTTGAACGCATTCTCTTTTGAATTTGAAATATGTTGTAGATGCTTTTTATTTAAGCACGCACAGGCGCAGGATTACATTCATTATTTAGACTAGAACTTTTTTGCACTTGATGTAAGAGAAAAGCTGGCAGGCTCCTTCAGAATAATTGCATAGAGTGCAATGAACCTGATTTATGTAAAGGATTATTGAAGGAATACACAACTTTCATGGTAATCCTGCTAAATCATTCATTCAGGACTGGCTGACATTTATCCAGATATGGATTCTCTACTTTGCTAGCTTCTAAAGCAGAGCAAAGAAGCAATTATTTAAAAGGGACGCTGAAAACTAATATTAAAAGAGAGAAATCCTGGAGGGTGGATAAATACTGAGTGATTATTCTCTCCTTAATAATGTAATTTGCAGATCATGGACCAGGGAATCATTTCTCAGTCTGTGTCTACACTTGGCAAACTTCGACATTATATTATTAAAAGGTAAATATAATGTCAGTAACATTAACCACTTTCTAAAAAAATAATTCCCTCACTGATTCTTTTTTTTTTTTTTTTTTAGTATTGGGAATTGAACTCAGGGCATCGTGCTGGCCAGGCAGGCAGTGTGCCGCTGAGCTACATCCCTGGCCCCTCCCTCTCTTCTTCTTTTAAAAATTTCTACTTGATTTTATCTTAAATATTTCCTGTGAACAAAGTGGGGTATAATTAGGTTTAAAATCTAAGTCTGGGAATCTATCTCCTCTGAAAATGTTTCTCTTTCACGTTTCTAGTCAGCGATGTTAAAAAAAAATCATGTGAGAAATAAATCAAATTCCTTTCCGCTGCTCTACACATAAAAATTCTAGGATGCAGGAAAAGGAAAGTAGCATTTTCATCAGTTAATCACCTCTAGATTTGGTAACAGAAACATTTCAGGCAATCAGAAAAGGAGAAAAGAAACATCTTTAATTGATTCCTCAGAGAATCTTATTTTTCCAAGTTGTAAAGAAATTGTTCTGATGTTTTCTACTTGGCTGTTTCAGAGATACACAAATGAAATACAGAGCGAAGACAAATGAAATGTTAATGAGAAGCAGGATGATGCTGAAACGTCCCTACATGGTCTGTAGGGAACAAAGGCAGTTGACTCTATCAGGGGAATAGAAGCAAACATGAACAAGGGATTTTCACCCCTTGCAAAACCACAAGCTTCATTTACCTTGGAGACAGCCACCAGGCAAGATTCCTTCTGACACTGCTGATAGGGATTGCAGGGGGGGCTGCGGGGCAGGAGCATCCCCCAGCATCATCTGTGATAAGTGTGGGGCTCACAGGTGTTCATTATGATGTCTCCCAGGTGCAAGGAGGGTCTTTAACACACCAGCCAGTCACCCACACATTAGTATTTTCTGTCTTTCCCAACAGTGAGCATGATCAGTGTAGTAGATTTGTTAAATGCAACCCAAAGATCCCTTCAATTTCCTATTTAATACTTTGAAGCTTTGAAATTATGCCATCATGTGCTTATGATCATAAGAAATCAATTTTAAACTAAATAGTCTTTAATTCTCCTTTTCATACACATTTTCACCCTGCATTTAAAGATGGGATTAAAAAAATTCAAGGTTAGGACAATAGAATAAATTGAAGGATAGAACATTTTAAAAAGCACCAATTTACCTTGTTCTCAATGTCTTAAGATTTAGAAAACTCACTGGTATTTCAAAGTATTTTAAGTATTATCTTGTAAACCCTCTTTTAGAGTATCTGTCTCACCTGGGGCGAGACTATGTTGCTTTACTGTGAGCACATAACAGGTGCTCAATAAATGCTTATTGTAAGAATGAATGACTATAAAGAGATACTTACATTTCTCTTATACCACAACAGATAGGATCTGTAAGTAGTGTTATTTTTGCCCATGACATTTAGGTAACAAAACAAAGTTCAGTACAAAAATTGATGTGACATTTACAGATAGAAATTTAAGATTAAAAAAAATCTAAGGTTTGCCTCTGAATCTCTAAATATAGCACGCTTGACTAGGGAAAACAGACATGACTATGTGGGAAAGAATTTTAAATGAAAGGAAACTTTCAATATAAACTGTATACATTTAAATTAACATACAGAAAACAATTATTTGCAAAACAATCATATACATTAAGAAAAATGGTAACACCCTTTAAACTTTCAATAATACTGGCTGTACAAAACTGCTTGTAGTGTTCTCAAATGGGCATCTTGGACCAGTTGCATCAAAACATCCTTTTTACCAGTGCACACAGACACACTGTGGCCTTTCTCCCTGCACAGTGTCATGTAAGGTCATGGCTGTGCTTTCAAACAACTGGTCTGGATATGTGACACCTGCAGGACAGGCAGCAGCAGCTGGAAGGCATCCTGGATGTATGTCGTGCTATTGCAGCCCTGTGAGAGGAAAAAATGTAGGTGTAAGGTTATTTCTGTCATTCCGTCTTGCAGATCTCCCAGAATATAGGGAACATCACTGAATTGGGACTTTATGCACTTTTGATAATGTTAGTGCTTATAGAAAATGTAAACACATTCTTGTAGATAGCATATGTCTAGCTCTTCATCATCTGTATTAACAGAATTCACTCAAAATGAGGCAAACCGTTTCTGTAGGCTGTTAAGGCACATCTATGTGTGTATATCCATGGCCCAATAAGTCCAGTCTTATCTGTCCCTTTCCCAGATCAGTCTTACTGCTCTGAAGCCATGTGAAAGCCCAGTATGAAGGGGGTCATGTTATAACCTACAGCTGTATAAACAGAATGGTCTACAGAAAGCTAAAGATACTGTAAATTAATCAAGACCGAATTCTTGAACACTGTCACCTTGGCCACGCATGTTTGGCTTGTAGATCTGATACTGTTATTTTTGCTGTGCAGTACAGTACTAAGCATTACTAAACAGAGAACCCATTTAAAGTCTGGGATGGGCCTGGGCAGGTGAAGCTCAGTGGTAGAGTGTTTTGCTGGGTTTGATCCCCAGTACAGCAAAACAAATAATAAAATAAATCAGCTGTATGTGATGTCACATGCCTGTAACCTCACTCCTTGGGAGGCTGAGGCAGGAGCCCGGTTTAAAGCCAGCCTGAGGAACTTAGCAAGACCATGTCTTTAAAATAAAAAATAAACAGGGCTGAGTGTAAATAGCTCAGTGTGAAGAACCTGGGTTCAATCCCAGGATTGAATCAATCCATTAATCAATTGATTACTATAATCAATCCATTAATCAATTAAGCTTAGGGTAGCTAATATGAAACTTTTTGCTAAGGGAATGAATATTTGCCCTCATTTGTGATGACTGATAAGATTAGTCTAATTAATCAGATTTAAAATTTTTTTAAAAATTCTGACTGCCAGAGTTTCTCCCGATATGTATCTGTCCCTCTGGACCTGTCCCTACAGCTCCTGTCCTTTCTGGTTGACTCCACTGCACTGTGCGACAGTGGATCAGCTTTTGGCATCATCACTGTTACATTTGTCCCTGGGTAGCTTTCCTAAATTGTTAGGTGTGATTCCCAAATATACTGGCATGCATATTTACATAACCATCTGAATGTTTTTATCATTTCCCAATTTTGCCATCGACAGCTACCTGAGAAAGCAAAAACTCCAGGATAAGCATTGCCCACAGTCTCAGCTTGTGAAAATCTTGTGGATTTGGCGGGTGCCCAATGGTTATAGATGTTTTGCCCATAGTGTAAGAATCTCCTCCAACAACCACTGGTAGAATACAGTGCCCATGAGAAGGGCATGATGAGGAGGTTCCCTAGGCTGCTTTTTTTCTCTGACACATCACTGTTGTGAGCAAAACCACACCAGTGTTGGGGCAGCTTCACGCTGGACCAACTGGTGCTACAGAGTCCTGATGCACAGGCCAGCCATGGAGTGAGTGGTCAGTAGCCCTTGACACTGAATGGGCAGATTCTGTCATTTTTGCCATTCCCAGAGCTTAGACACAGCAGAACAATAGGTTCTTGTGAAGGGAAGGAAATGTCCATTTTTATGAAAATCACATCAGGCAATAATCCCTTATTGTAGCCAATAAGCAGAGTGTTAAATCTAGTGTCAAACTTGGCGACAGAAATCTGCCTCGGCTGGAGGAAACAGTGACAGAAATAACGTGCAAGCTTAGCAGTTCTTTTTATAATCAGAAATTCTTGAAAATTAGGTATTGTTGCTTCATCAGAAGGTTTACAGCTGGTTGAGCTACACAAATGTACTCAAAAACACTGTTGCCGATAAGATTTAAAAGCATTGCAGTAACGTTTGCTGTCTGAGAGAAAGACAAAAAGAGAAAAAAAAATGTAGTGCTAACATTTGTTTTGAAGCAGAAATACTTTCTCTCCCAAGACCACTTACCTCTAACAATACACTATTGATCATGGGGTTAAGGACCTCAGCCTTCTTGTTGCTCTGTGGGATCAAAAGTATGAAATTGACAGATTAGGGGCTCATAATACAACACTTGCCACATAAAATGTAAGGCACTGGCTTTGTTCAGGCATCTCTCAGTGAGGAAGGGGAACCGCAGTGCTTTCTAAAGACTGCGCTTCCTATTTGGTCATTCCCCTGTGTGAGCGCATTTGATTTCATCAGAAATTCTAGCAGGCAGGCACATACTCCAATTTCCAGGTAAGAAAACACGGTGAAGAACTGTGTAAGTTCACAGTGCTTAGGAGCGTAAACTCAGATCTTTTCAACTATTTAAAGATGTAGGAGGTCTGGGAGTAGTGTGAGGTTAAGTTGAATTGTGCAAGTATTAAGACTTAAAAAATTTTGATAGCATGATAATTTTTGCCTTTTTAATGTTAAAAATATTGCAGTAAGATATCCATCTAACTTGGTTTGTTTTCTAATTTCTTTTTTGGGGGAGCTCCTCAAATTTTGCTTACCTTTATTTACCCTAGTCTCAGCTCTGGTTTAGTCTTTTTCTATTTTTTCCCTTTCTGATTTAAATGCAAGGATGAATACGTAATTACAGGGCATCTTCCAGAACACTACCAAAATTAAAGCATCCTTAAGTATAATCTGCAATCAGATTTTCACATCCAAGTTTGAAAAACATGAACATATGTAAAGTAAAATGTTCAAAGTACAAAATAAAGTAGGTGTTTAAAAGCTGGAAGCTAATATCATTATCCTCATTTATGCTGTTGGCCTTTTAATAAACAGTCACTCCTATCTAAAAATGTTCAATCTATAGGTGATAAATCATTAAAGAGACTGAAGAGAGGGCAGTCTTAATAGGTGGTTTCTCCCATTATACCTGGAAGAGTTTATGGCAAACCAAAGCACTTAAATCAAATACATCTTCTCAGAGCAGCCTACTTTCACTGATATCACTCTACTGAGAGTGAAGTAATATCTCACAGAGGAAACCATAATGGAGTTTGGGAAAAAAAGACTCCTTAAAAACCCAGTCGTTTTAGTAAGTAAGCAGAAAATCCATTATGGTATTTGCTTTCATGTTTATTTGATTATCAATAAACCTCTAAAATATAATCAAAATGAGGGCAATAAAAAGACATTGGCTTTCAGAATCAATGAGATGTGCAAGCAATTTAAATAGAGCCTGGAGAGCCATATACACTCATTAACTTCAAGTTATGAATAATGGCTGTTTGAAAGAACAGAAACGATGACTTGATACAAATGATTCATCAAACCACAAGATCAGGGCTTCTGTTATGATGAAATGGCGCTTCAGTAAACTCTGAGATTCAGCTTTTTTCTTTCTATAAAATAACGTGTCTATTCCTGACTTTGTGCATGCAAACATTTACACGCATGTGTGTTTATGAACAAATATAAGTTCAAGCACACACCCGTCTGCTAGAGCCTTATTAAACAAAATGTGGGCTGTGGATCAGAAACATTCTGATCATCTGAGAGCATACTGGCACTATAAGATTTCAGCCCTTATTCCAGATGTACTGAATTAGAATTTGCATTTTAAAAAGATTTCTAGGTGATTTGTGTGCATTCAGATTTGTGAAACATTGTGTGGAAATACAATATTTTAAAAGGAAGGGAAAACCATGTCATGAACATTGCCCACTAATGGAAATAAAATAATGTTTGACATAAAAATGATACCAGATATGTCACACACCCCTGCATCCCTAGGCAATTATGCAACCTAAAACAGTTGGTTATTTGTCTGATGCACCTGGTGGGCAGCCTGTAGGAGCTGAGAAATCAATTGAAAGGACTGAGTTTTCTCACCTAGTAAACTGTGGAAAAAGGACTGAGTTTTCTCTCCTAGTAAACTGAGTAGAAGGAAGAACAGAGCCTTGGGAACCTGGACTGTCAAGGCCATCCCATCGTGAGCAAGCTGCCACACCTCTCTGCAGACCTAGTATCTCCCCTAAGTCCACGGGCACTAGGTAACTTACACAGTGCAGGGCACCCGAATGCATTTTATCCAGCCTGTCGTAGCAGAGGCTCCCGCTCCCCACCATTCTGCTGGCACACAGTGAAGCTCCATTACTGAAGGCCGAAAGTCAGACAAACAGAAAAGCTGCCGGTTTACAAAGGAGGAGCAGCAAACCATGTTCCTTGACAGCAGAATGGCAGGTAGCTCATTTCTTATTAATCGAGTCACTGATAGAAGTGTGGGAGATAGATATCTTTCGGGGCAACATCAGGTCCACAATTATTTTCTGCTTTTTCTGAGAACTGCTCTTGGCCTGAGGAGGGATGGAACGTGCACTCCAGCAGCCAGGCAGGTCTGCATGATACGGGCCTGGCCCTTGTCATTCTTGAGGGACTGCAAGGTGGACCTCCGATCCATTTGCATGAACATTGTAAACTGTCTCACGTAGGACACAGGACTCTGGGGTTCCAAGATCCAGGGCCTGGGACTTACTGTGGTTGAGTCACATGGATAGCGACACTTTAGAGACCATGTGTAAGAGCTTTGGTGCTGGGTCCCCACCGCTACTCACAGTCTCCCCATTGTCTCTCAAAGCCCCCTATTCTGTCTAAACCATTTATAGGTTATTTCTCTTGCTTCCTTATGGATTGAATTGTGTTCCCAAAAAGGGTACATTGAAGACCTGACTTGCTATTACTCCCTAGTGCGAGGGCAGCTGTGAGTGTAATCAGTCAGGGTGCAGCCACAGTAATGAGACCCCGATCCAGTATGGCTGTGTCCTTCTAAGAGGAAAATCTGGACACAACGCGCACTGAGGGGAGACCACACAAAGACACTGGGAGAAACCATCAGGTGAAGATGGGACAAGATGGCTGTCTTGTGGCCACAAGTGAAGAACACCTTGGGCCTACGAAAGCCAGAGGAAGTCAAGGAAGATCCACCCGTGGATGCTTCAGAGAGAGAATGACCATGTCTGAAGCTTGCTTCAGATTCTAAACTGTGAAGAGTAAATTTCAGTCCTGAATGTCACTTCATGTGTGGTACTTTGTTACAGTTGTCCTAGAAAATTAGAAGCTTGCAACCAAAAAACCACGTAGCTAAAGCAGGAAGTAACTCTGCTGTTATGCCAAATGGTAATATTTTTTCTTTTGGTTTCAGTTGAATTGCAACAATAGAGCAAAGAAACTTATGAGGTTTATAAAATAGACTAAGCTCAAGAAGAAATAAGAATACTCAAAGTTAATTACTTTAATAGAGATGCTTGAAATATATATAGTTATGCTTCTTCTCTAGATGTCCCCTCAATGCCTTCTATGTTTGTAAGAGGTGAATATGGATTAAAGATGTGTAGTCACCAAATTAGTCCATTGATTGGTTTAGCACAGTTCTGGTTAGGGATAACGAGAAGCTCCATGTGGGTATGGTTGGCACCAAACAAAAGGCTTGTAGACTGAATGGAATGTAAGGGTGTGGGGCACCATTCCAGACAGACTCCTTCAGGCTTCAAAGCTCAGGGGGTACAGAAGGAACCCCATGGCCAGCTATGAGGACACAACCCCCTTATCTAGACCAAGGCACATACAGGATGACTGAGCAAGCAGTAGGCAACCACCCGTGTGCTTATTCAGTCAACACACAAGACTGTAAATACGTGACAACTACCTGTGTAAGGGCTAAACAGTAAAGACACGGGCTGCTGTCTTGCTGCTGCCTGCCTTTTGAACAAATGTCTGCCCTGTGTGCATTCTTTGCCCTGGGGATCTCACTGCCAAAGTCCCTCTTTAGGCCCCCAGCCACAACAAAGGGGAAAAGAAGGAAATCTCATCACTTACTGCTTTTTGTCTTCCCTGCCATTGGCTGATTCTCTTCTGCCATGCCACCCTGCTGTGGAGCCAGCCAACTGTGAACTGAACCTCTATAAACCATGAGCTACAATAAACCCTCTTTTAACTTTCGGTGTTGGGTATTTTGTCTTAGCAATGAGAAAAGTAGCTAAGATACATGGATACACAGTAATATATATTTATTGTAATATAAAATACATTCATTCATATGAATATGTTTATATGAATATGTTTATATTCAATATTAACATATGAACATATGAATATATTCATATGAATGTTTATATTCAATATTATATAATATATACTCATGTTAATGTACAGAGCCTTCATTCTGATACTTTTTTTAGTGAATAAAATAATGAGAGCTTGGTAGAGTGGTGCACAGCTACATCCTGCATTCTGGGAGGCTGAGGCAGGATTGAAAGTTTGAGCTTAGCCTGGATAATTTAGTGACTTAGTAAAACCCAGTCTCAGAAAAAGGCTTGGAGTATAGCTCAGTGCAAAGGTCCCAGTTCCTTCTCCAGTACCATTACAAAAAGGCTGATAACAGTGTGCAACCTCACCTCTCCCAGCATCTCAGGTATATGGGACTGCGTTACTGAGGCCAGAGCACAGGCACAGCAGAGCCCGGCACGGCCTGTCATAACAGCAGGTGCTCATGGCCTGATTTTAGCATCCATCATGGCACAGCTGCTGATTATGCAGTTATCCAGAAAGGAACTGCACCCCACTTTTCTCACAGCCCCTCACAGCCCCACTTCCCTTAGACAGATAAAAACATGGTCCAGATGGTAATCTTACCCCAACAGTAGTTAAAGAATTTGTAAACTTCTTTGATAAGGAAGTCACTTCATTGCACATTGCAGTAGTTAACCTGAAATAAGAAAAAAGAGGTGCAGGGTTTCCAATAAGGTAAAAGAGTTCAGTGGTCATAACCATGATAACAATGCAGCAGGACATCCAAAATGGCGGCATATGAGGCCGAGGTGGTTGGACATGGAAGGGCCATCAGACAGTCTTTCTCAACAATTTTTCATGATTCACAATCACAGTTTAATCAAATTCCGGTTTTCTCTCCATGCTTAATTAAAGAATAATCACCTAATTCATTTGCCATCTTTTTAGAATGAAAACTGTGTGTAAGAAAATGCCAAGCTTGAGTTCCAGCTCTACAGGGGTAAAAACTCTTGCCAAGTGGAATTTCTCCAGCTCATTGGTCATTTAAAATAATAATGAAACAATAATGAATATTCGTTCAGGCACTATGTTAAGTACTTGTACATCTAATCATATTTAATCCTTATAGGGACCTAATGATTACTATTGCCATTTTTCACAGATGAAGAAACCGACAGCTATAAGAGGTAACCTGCAAGGATACGCAACAGTAGACTGTAGAGATGGGATTTAAATTCAGGAGGCCTTCTGTATTTTATGTTTTCACTAGATGGCTCAAGATAAAGATCTTGAAGAATATGTTTTTAAATACCTATATCAAAATTCCAAATTTTGGTCATTATACTTCAGACAGTTTACTCCAAGAAAATAAAGTAAGAGAGATACAGATATTTAACCACAATAATGTTTATCCTAACATTATAGATCATGACCAAACAAAAAACTAATTACATACATAATTATGATGTGGCTTCTGTTATTTTCTTATAATCAGTGTATATGATGCTTATGAATAGTAATTAAAATGCTATTAGAAAAATTAAAACCCCAAGTTGAGAATCTTGTATGTCAAAAAATTTAATGTCAGTAGAAGTAAGATTTTTTTTCACAAATGGGGCCCAATATAAATGACCTATGTATTAAGTCTTATAAGCTATATCCATCTGCCCATCATTCAAAAGTTTTCTGCAGAAAGCATCAAGAGTAAGGCTTGGAGATTTCCTAGGCCCATTCTGTCTGTTTCTGGGCAGAGGTGGACAGTGCTCATTGTACAGACAAATCAGGGGCTTGGTGCAGCTTGGTGAGGTCAGGACAGTTAAGGATGGTAATCAGAAAGATGCCAAGAGCAAGGTCCTACTAACACACACTCAAGGACTTCTGCACATCAGCCCTCCTTCAAATCAATACTGCAAAGATAAAATAGACGCTAGATGGCCTTAGTATTTTAAACTTATCCTGTTTTGTCCTTTCCTTGTACCCCTATAGGCTGACGTATTGCATAATCTTTCTAGCAGTATTATAGAGTGGATTATGTGGATTTCTATATGTTTAGATATGATAACCTAGACTAGATGACAAATCTTTACCAGTGATAAAAAATGCCATCAGCACAAAGACACTAATCCTGAATTTTTGGAAGACAGTTCAGCTAAATCTCTCTAACTTATTCTATTAAATGCAGGAAATACTAAGCAAAGATTACTACGTGGGCATCACCATTTATCTCCCTAGGCTTCCATTGAATTTCCTGTGTCTCAGCAATGAAAAGTTATTTGGGCCTGTGCTGATTTTTTTATACCATAATATAATCATATACATAAAAGGTGTATGGTTCATGATTCATTGTTCAGTTCCATACCAACTACTTTCCTGTGTGAATCTATATATCTATATTTTATCTAGATCTTCTATCTATCTATCTATCTATCTATCTATCTATCTATCTATTATTTATCTATCTATCTATTTCACTACATAACCTAGTAATAACAACTATGCTTTACTGAAGAACACACACCACCACAACACATATGCACACACACATGCAATCTACAGGGACCTGACTTACATTGGCCACCACTATCACCTGAGTGCTGAGCGTGCAGAGTGGGGACAGGTTCCTGGGAATGGAGGAGGCATCTGCTTCCTTTTGAGCAGTTGAGGAGTTACGGGTGCATGCTTTTTCTCTATTCATGTGATATGCTCAAAATGTAATTACTCTCAAAGGTCTGTACTTCTAGACTTTGATCTATTAAACACTTGCATAGCTTGAATGAGTTAGTGTGTCTTACCTCCAGTCTTCGTCAATAATTCCTAGAATGTGTAGTTAGTTCTTTTTGCTAACACAAAATAACTCCTAGAATGTCTAGGTAATTCTTTTTGCTAACACAAAAGGGAGTCCTTGTTTCTTAAGATGACCATAACAATGGAGTTAGCTGACACGAAGCCATTGTCTTCAGCTGTCCAGGGTGTGTGTAATGTGTGTGTTTTGAATGGCATATAGTGTAAATGTAAAATGTAAGAAATAATTAAAACTGGAATTTACTTTATCAGAACTTTTGCTTGATCCTGGGCTGGTTTCTCCTCTTCTTGTCCGTGAAGAATTAATTCTGCAACTTTATGAAGCTGCTCGATACAACGTGCAGTGACTTCCGCCAGACTTTCAATGGACAGTATGTACACTTCCTGTACACACGCAAGAAAAAACAGATTTTTTTACAAAGCCCTGTGATGTTAAACCATGATATAATAATCACAATAAATACTGTAATAATGTATATATTTTTATTATTGTCTTTTTAAGACAAGGTCTTGCCATGTAGCCCAGGCTGGCCTCAATCCCATAATCCTCTCCTCCCTCCTGAGTGCAGGGATTGCTGATGAGTGCCATTGTGCCATCTTTAATTATGTTATTTTTAGTGTTGTAGACAAAGCCCAGGGCCGTGCAGGGCAGCTACACTGCCAGTCCCTAAGTAATATAATCCTAAATATGAAATACAAATAGAACGTAAAAAAGTTTATGTGAAGATTATGGTTATGTCTAGGACTTCTCTAAGTGGAATGCTGCCATAAAATGTAAGCTGTAATATAAAAAAGGTCCGTTCTGCCAGGTCCCCGGGGATGCAGTGAGCCTGTTTAGAGTTGTGTCCTTCACAGTCACAGCCAACCTGGACACACAACAGGCAGCAGCTAGAACACTGTAGAAGCGAGAGTGAATGAACAGACCTCAACACACACTTTTCCTTAGAGAGATTTAACTTAAAACGTTACTTTCTTTAAAACTAAAATTCGACATAAGGTACCATTATTGCAAACCACTTTCCAAACACAGGCTATAAGTATGCACATATACATTTAATGATCTACAGAATAAAAGGTACAGCAATGAAAAAGCTTTTCAAAAAAGCTTCAATTACCTCATTAGTTATGGTGCATAAAGACATTTTATAGTAACAAATTTGCATATAAGATAGAGACTTCCTCTAAAGATAAATCAATTACATTCTTAAAAAATCCTTTCCCCTTTAAATCATAACTGTAAAGCTATAGAAAAAAACTATAAAATCTATGTTAAGCCAGCAATTGTCTTGGCACAGAGAAATTTTAAGGTTGATTCCATTCCTACTCGTTTTTTAAAGAGCAGAGAGTACAAATTAAAAAAGGCCTTTCTTTGGTTGAAATTAGGCTGCTAATAAAATTACCATAATATTACTGCCCTTTTGGTGGAGAATCTTGAGTGAACTTACCTCTATGGTCTTAGTTCTCTTTTCCTCCTTTTTGTCCTTCTGAAGTTCTTCAGTCTTCCTTTCCTTTTCCTCCTTCTTAGTTTCCTCCTCTGACTCTGTGGCCACATCTACTGACACCAAGGTCTGATCCTCTTCTACCCAATCATGGGCCTTTTTCATGGCCTGCAGTGGTCCCCAAACAAAGGCCACGTTTATTGTGGGAACATGAAAACTAGGCCCTTCCAAGCCGAGGCTAGACTCATGTTGCTCTAAACCTCCAGGGCAAATTTCTGTGTGTTTAATAAGTGATGGGGCCATCATTCCACTTCATTAAAGGACAACCTTGTTGGTAAAAATATAAAATAGAAGAAGGGGACGGAATAGAAAATACAGAGGGAAATTTGCAGGGCTCAAGGCCTTAAAAGAAGAATTTAAAAATGATATTCAGGTAAGAATAAAAATGATAGTCTCATTGAAAATCTATAGTACATTTTTCACTTTTCATGACCAACTATAAAAGAATAGCAACATTTTTTTTCTGTGTAGGTGAGAAATTTAGGGAGAGCCATGGCTAAAGCAAATTTCCACATCTGATATGTCTCATGGAGCTCTGAATGTTTCATGAACCTGATAATGTATCACGCTGCGACGATGAAACATAGCCGTGCTCCTGAGATTCACGCAGGCCTTCTGGCACTGGGGGCACAGACAGGAGCAGCGGGAGAGACCTGGCCCTGCTCTGTGGCTAGTTTAATTTCACACGGTGCAGGTCAAGCAGCCTGTGGCCCTAAAAGTCGTGGCTAAATTAAAGGTGCAGAACTCATCTTCTCTATCTGCTGTTTCCTGAATTTAGCAAGGGCAGATTTCCCAGATTTTATCACCCTCTTTTAAACTACTTAAGAATAAGTCATTTCTCAGCTAAAAACGACTTCCTTTTGTAAAGTGTGTAAGTCAAAGTTGAGTATGTTAGAGTGCTGGGTGGCAAGTTAACACCAAGTAGATTTGAGGAGAGAAAATCTAAGAAAAGCATGCTTGGCATATCCTCTTTTTGGGATAAAGGTCGACACAGACAGTGTAAACAAACCACGGCAAACCTGCAGCCATCACATGCCCCTCTCTGAATGGTGGCAGATGCTGCAGGGAGACAGATGAGGCAGTTTCCTTCTATGTTCATGTCGCTGACCTGCCAGCATCAGTGACCCCTATCTGAGATAAAGCAATTACTCATCTCTACCTCACCACCTCAGGCTCCCCTTTCCTTGCCCACCTTGATAAGTGATGCCTACGGAAACCACTGCTTGCTAAGAAAAAAGCACTGCTTGCTAAAAAAAAAAAATACCAGGGGAGCCGGGCCTGTAATCCCAGCACTTGGGAGGCTGAGGAAGGAGGATCGTTGCGAGTTTGAGACTAGCCTGGGCTAAAAAGTGAGCTCAACGCCAGCCTGAACTGCATAGAGAGACTCTGTCTCAAAAAGGGAAAAAAAAAACCCCCAAAAACCAGGGGTGGGGGTGGCACCCATCATACAGTTTTGAGTAAGCAATGGTCTCTGTTTTAGCTCCCACAGCAAGACTTTGTACCAACTTGCAAAGCATAGCACCGTATCATTAGAGGAACCCGGACTGCTAATGCTGGATGTTCTTGGACATGATGTAACATAGCTTCAAGGTGGGCGGAGATCTGAGAGGTTTTCTTGGCATATGCCTCTCCCTGCGTAATTCTGACGTGTGTCCTTGAATTTAAAAATGGGAGAACAGAATTTGAAAAAGCCCCTTGGTGATTCTGTACCCCTCAGTTTTCTATCCTGATGATAAGCACTGTTGTACCGCAAAGGGCAAGTGACTTGTTCAAGGTCATAAGACAATTACTAGTAAAGCCGCAACTACAGTATCAGTCTCATGACACAGTCTGGCATATTCTCTACCTTTCTATTTTTATTACATTCCCTCCTCAAATCTTAATTACTGACCTCAAGCTCCTCTTCCTTCACCGTGGCATAGGGAGCTGGTGGTTTTGCATCTCACATGGCTCTCTGGAGTTTTATGAGTGACAGACTCTCCCACCCCACTTTTTGTAAAACCAGAAATGGAGATTCAGATGTTCTGACCTTATTGAGTTTGTCAGGAGTGGCTGCGACATGTAATTCAAACAGAAGCTCTGTAAGCATGCGAGCAAACTCTTCTCCCTTTTCTTCTAAGCCTAGAAACAGAACACGACACAAGAACCACGATTTAGTCCTCATGCTGCAGAGCGTGGAGCTCCCTGATGGTCAGCCTGCAGGAGGGGTAGGCTCAGGTGGGCTGTGGCAGTCTGCCTTCTGGCCCTCAGTGAAGCCGCCAATGAGGATGGACATCCCCCACTGGCCACCGACAGAGAGGCAGCCAGTTGCTGCATTGGGGGGCCTCAGGGCCTTCCCTCGGCATCCCCAGGCCAGCCTAGACACAGCCAGAGGCCAGGAGGGACTCAGATTATCCTGTTCACAGCTATAGGTGGGCAGCATCTTTTTGTTTAAAGAATGCTGAATGAACAATGAATGACCTCTGTCAGCTCTGAGGCCTAGGACAGCACTGTATTTATGACAGTGCATTGTTGTACTGTGCATTGCAACCCTAGTAATTCCCAGGTTGCATTCTAGGCCCTCAGAGCTACAGCACTGAGCAAGCAGATCTGGCCTCCTCGGGATGTATGCTATCTGATGCAACACCACCGTCACGGGAGAGACTTCCCCAGTATCCTAGGGTACCTGTCTGGTTCTTTTTTTTTAAACCAGTACAGGGAATTGAACCTAAGACCTTTGCCCTGAGTTACATACTCAGTCCTAAAAAATGTGTTTGTTTATTTATATCCCCAGCTCCTTTTTATTTTCCTATTTTCTTATTATTTTCCATTTTCTCATGGTCTCACTGAGTTGCTAAAACTGCCCAGACTGAACTTGAACTTGATTCTCCTGCCTCAGCCTCCCAGAGTACTGGCATTACAGGTGTGTGTCACCACACAAGGCTCTAAACTGCTTCTTAATGATCTATCTTCTGTTCAGACTGGAAGCTGTCTATGGGCAGAAAACAGTATTTGACTCAGTCCTAAATCCAGTGCTTAGACTGTAGTAATAAGTGCTAAAATGATCACTTACCAAATCAATAATTTATTAATAAATGACATTATATATATCATAAAATTAACACAAATTAATATTCCTAGTGAGCAACAGTAATCTTGTTGCTCTCATTTCCATCCATAAGATATAAACAACATTTTAAATCTCTGGTAGGTGTTAAACAATTGGTTCCATAATAGGTTTCCTACTTTGTGTGGAGGTTAGGGGGCTTGAAGACTAAGAGCATCATTAAATCTGGCTCAATTACGAGTCTCTCTGAGAAGCAAATACTATGGTTTATGCCAGTGAGTGAAGGCAGGACCTTCAGGGGGACTAAGGCATGTGAGAAATATTGTCAAATAGCTATTTCCAGTTTTAGAGACAAAATGGTTAATCGGCAGCTCATAAAGATAGCTGGGGTAGCTTGTGGGTCTCTGTTCAAAACCTTTGGCATAGATCAGTTTATTACTACCTACCATTCATATATTCTCAGGAGGGAGACAGGTTAATAAACAAAACAGATGAGAAAAACATGTCACAACAGTGGCCAAAAGGAGGGTGTCAGGAGTGGCGCTCTCGGGAGGTGGTCAGGTCACGGACACCAAGCCCTCATGAATGAGATCAGACATTTTGGAGAAGAGACCCGGAGTGCTGCCTGGGCCCTTGCTTCATACGAGGTCACAGCCAGAGGGCGCTGTCAGCTGACACCACACCTGCAGCACTTCCGGTCTTGGACTTCTCAGCCTCCTGAACTAGGAAGTGAGTTCCTGCAGTGTGTAAGCTACACAGTCTATGGCGTTATGTTATAGTAGCTGAAGCAGATTAATAGGAGGGAAGCCGAGAAGGTGACGTCATTGACATTATGATCTGTTTGTACCTACCTCCAGTTTTCTTTGTGATGTTTTTCCTAAAATACGTGCTAATACTTGGTATGCATTTTATAGAATCAATGCATATTTAAAAGCTGGAGCTACCCAAAGTACTTGTGGCCTAATTTAATGTTGATTTCTCCCAAATATGTTTAATCTCCCTATGTTTATATTCATAGCACATAATTAACATTACATAAAGTGTTCACATTTACAAAATGCTTCCACCTTTCTTGAAATGTTTGGTCACATTAGGCCACAAGTACTTTGGGTAGCTCCAGCTTTTAAATATGCATTGATTCTATAAAGTGAATACCAAGTATTACCAAGTATTTTTAGGAAAAAAAATCACAAAGAAAACTGGAGGTAGGTACCAACAGATAATAATATTGTGACAAAAATTGTCTATTATTCCAATTCTCAGTCTGTACACATGGCCACAAAGATCTTCTCAAGGCAATAAAAATAGCAAATAATCTTTTGAAGTCTCCTCACAGCCATGATAAACCAAATCAGAGACCCATAGCAGTGTGATAAAATTATACACTGCCGAAAAGACAACATACAAATCACTTGCTAACATCATTCAATGCATAGGGACCTGATATTAAATTGATCTAAAAATGACACCATTCTTACATTTTCTGAGGCTACCAAATAAATTATTAGTCATTAGAGAATTTCAGGAATATAAATGCTTGCAAGAAAAAAAATGCACTGGTTTGTGTCAGAGTTGGGCCCCTGGATTTTCTGCTCACTGCTGGCCCCAGTAAGATTTCTCTCAGCAACTGCCGGGCAATCCCTAACCTTCTGGAGCTGTGACACTCCATCACAATTGGGTGGCTTTAATGGCAACACCTCTGTTCTTTGCTCCGAGTGCTTTATTAAGTGTTTCAGTGACATTTATTTATTAAATTAAGTTAATTAAAATTAATAGTGTTTTGATAATCTGGAGGTGGCCTTTGGGAAAATGGCTATAGTATGGGAGATAATAGAGTTTTGTCACTTAAGGAGAGATAAATCTACCATTTCTTAAACAGGCTGTTTAGCACTTCAATTTCTGTGCATGTTTATTTGTGTATACATGAGTGCACGCACACACACACACACACACACACACACACACACACACACACACACACACATACTGTATTAAAAAAATATCTCAATTTACTGAAGCTTTGCCCTAAGATGAGAATACATTGTCTGTAATAGCATTTTCTATTTAATTGTATAGAATCAGGTTTCTCTTCCAAGAACAGCATCAATTGGGAATGTAACACTGCTTTAACTCGCGCTGGCAAAGATCTCTTCAGTGTTGGGGTGCATCTGGGATCCTTTATATACTTTCCGAATGACACCTAGGAGGACCAAGTTCTACCTCTGGCATCCTGAGCCTTGGGGAGGAATTCCTGATTGCTTCTGGCAGTGGTTAGTCTGCCCAGAAAGGGCCTATTATATATTTTTTTGGTTTTATTTTTCCAGAATGGGAGCTGCATGACCTTTGAGAGCAATGGCTTAGTTTCTTCATTAGAGAAACAAAGACAAGGCTGTCATCTTTGGGGATTTTGGTAAAAACACACAAATATGCTTTAGAAAAAAGAAGGTTCTTTGACAGTCCCTTTGATAGTGGCCTCTTTCTATGCTCCAGCATAATTTTTATTTTGATGAAATGAGGATAAACCTCATTAAACTGAAAGGACATAAGGTCAGTATGTGGGGCTGAAGAGGGAAATAGTGTCTAAGTAACTATTTATGAATGCTGAGGATTACTTTGCCCTACAGATCAAGGCTCAAGCATGTGAGAGCTTGTGTTCAAGCTTTGCTCAGAGGTATCTGATCCACCTGGGGACAAGACACTTACAAGGACTTGACACCCTGAATACATATATAGTTACCCTGCATGGTGCATACTAACAAGTACAATAATAAAAAACAGTTGCAATTCATTATACCTTTACTATTTTCCTGACATTGTGTAAGGCCTTTAAACACAACAATAGCTAACATTTTTGAGCAGTGTTTTGTACCAGACACTGGACTACATGTTTTTACCTCTTTGGCTCCCTAGGACAGCCCCTGGGAATATGCGTCATTGGCCCCATAACAAAACAACATACTGGGACTCAGAAAGGATCTGTAAATTGTCCAAGGCCACACGGCAGGAGAGTGGTGAAAATGTTTCAGTGGAGCCCATTATATGATCCCAGAAGCCAGTATTGTGCACAAATTTTCAGCACAGCCTGTGCAAAGCAACTGTGGTGTGGAGCTTGGCTACGACTCAGTAAGGACTCACTCTCCTGGACATAACAAATGTTTTACTCTCTTCTACTCCCAAGTGGACATCCCAAAGTAGCCATTAGGCACGTCCAGCTTTGGGTCCATCTTTCCATGGAATTGGTTCTGGTCTCTTCAGGGTCAGTCATTGGTGGGAAGTTTTTCAGGAAGTGTGTGCTGGGTCATTTCAGTGATTGTCAACCCGGCACATCCCATCCTTACACATTGTGGGAAAATGGCACAGCCTTTGTCAGAACTGTATTATTAGTTTTTTTGAGTTTTTATTTTTGTGATGCCGGGGATTGGTCCCAGGACCTCACACAGGACAGGCAAGCACCCTACCTCTGGGCTGCATGCCCGGTTCTAGATCTATATTTTCTAAGTGAAGTGTAAGACACTTGAAAATAGACCCTACATGCTAGATTAAAAGGACTAAGAAAAATATGCAAAGAAATTATTGCAGGACTTGCCTACCACGAACATTAGTTATATTAAACAACTTTCACGTGCAGATAAAATTAGCTGGTGGCAAGTGAGCTCTAGCTGGGCTCAGCACCCTGCACTCTTCAGCAGCCATATTTGTTCACATGTTTGGGATGTGCCAGGGACCAAGCTGGATGCCAGAGGAAGAACAGAAGCTCCTGCCCAGCCAAAGAGGGTGACAAATGAGTGTGCTGAGCTCCTGCAACCAGAGCAGGTGTGCAGGGCACTCTGGAGACACACACGAGGAGCAGCCGAATTAAATAATTCCTCCTGCTTGAGGAAGGGCTGTATTTATTAGTGGCAGTCTCATGAGGATTATGCCAACAGTTTATTGTGCTATCTGATTTATTTTTCTTACCTTGTTCTTCTTGATTCTCCTTACTCTCTAATTCTTTGGCTGCAAAGATGTCTTTAATGGAAATTAGGTCATTTTTTAAGTGTTCCAGCTTTTCCCCATCCAGCGATGCTAAAAATGACTGAACCTGAAAAAAAGAAATAGGCCAGCGTAACTGTCAACTTTTCCACTCATTAATGTTGTTTATGTACAGCTGTACCCAGTTTTCCCATGACCCAGGTGACTTGTGGGGTAACACTGGATTGAATGTGGGTTTTGTTACCTGTTAACCACGCTTTTCAGCAGTTACCTAAGCTCCTCAGTCTTACTTCAGGTTACATAAGCTTTCTCATTCTTAAAACAAGATCCATCCTTTATTGTGATCTTTGTGTGATAAGAGAGATACAAAATAGAAAATATATAGTACAGGTACACACAGTACATGCTAAGTAAATGGTAGTGCTAGATCTCCTATCAGAATAATTAAAATTTTGACCACATTTTGACCTAACACTGTGTTCAAATATCAATTCCTCACAAATTATTGATCTTGGGTCATTTATTTAAACTTTTGACAATACAAGTTTCCTTATCTATGAAATGGGAACTATATCTATCTTCTAATGTACTTAAAATACTTATAGCAATGCTCAATAAATAATGTATACATGAATACATGTACATATATGTAAGTAAATAGAGAAGTGTTACATAGTCACACGTGGATTTATGTGGATAGGATACTGAAGTTACAAAACTGGAGAAGAACCATTTTTATTTCTTGAGAGCTTACAGCCTAGAGCAAGGAGGCCCATGCCAACTAATAATGGCCAGGACAGCTGTGAACCAAGGGCACAGGGGGGGACACGGAGGAGCCTACAGGTGCTGCATCTTGAAGAGGTATTGTTTAGACCTGTGTCACCCCAATTACTGTCTCCAGAACCCCTCTTTTTTTGTCTTTTTCCTTTTTATCGGTACCGGGGATCGAACTCACGACTGCCTGCTTGCAAGGCAGGCACTTATGCCGCTGAGCTAAATCCCCAGCCCCAAGAACCCCTCTTTTGATACTATTCTTTGTATCTGCTTAAAAATTATTTGCACAGATGGCCAGCCATTCTCTGCAGACTAATTAGAATTTTGCAAATGGTCAAAGGGCATGAAATATCATACTAAAAGTGAAACATAACTGGAAAGTAGTGAAGTTGTAATTTTTTTCATTCTGCAGGGCAAACGCTAGCAGCAGAGGAGCAGTGATCCTCCTTGGCACACGTTTTAATATGCAGCATGGGAGTGGATTGGCACAGCAGGGTAAGACAGAGTGGTAGCCAGAGCATCCAGGATGTGGGACTCCATTTTCCTGAAAGGCCATGCACATCTCTAACTAAGCATCATGCAACCTGCTCGAGGCTCTGGGAGGAGGGAGGCTCATGGGAGGGCTTGGCTGGAAGTCATCAACATAAAGCCCATTGGCGGGGAGTTCATCAGGTACAAGCAAGTAAGTCCTGCTTGATGGATGGTGACCTTGACCTTCCTTTCAGAAGCTTGCACACTCGTGCTTTTCCCTCCTAGTTCATTTCATTCTGCTATGGATACATGCACTGAACCTTTAGATGGGTCCAATAATAAATAACGCTGCACACCTCAATAAATGCTCAATAAATACACCTCAATAAATACTCCTGGATGCTGACCGTGTGCTCAGTACTATGCTACTTGCTGTTCAGGATACAAGGTAGCCAGTCTGTCTTAACAATTTTTTCCTTAAAATGTGTGGTGCCGTTTTTATTTCTGTCTACTATTTTCAACATTGAATTGTTAGGCCAGTTGGCCAGAGGTGTGCGTGAGATGGATACACAGAAATGAGGGATTTTTGGAGTCAAATGCCCATAATCTCCTGGAATACATGGTTTGAGATTAAAGATAGCCTACAGGGCCACAAGTCCAAGCTGGGAAAAGGAGCCAAAAATGGCTAAAACTGGCAGCTCAAGACAAGTGAATCAGCCAACAGGATCAGACCATCAGAACTACCTAATCCGATGGCAAAACCAAACAGCCACTGGAAATGACAGTCCTGCTCTAGTCATTCCCAAAGTTGACCAGTCCATGCACAGCTGAAGCTTGAGGATCAACATGGAGTTACAATGACAACATAACTCCCTTTTGTTTTTGTTATAATTCCCTCTTTGCCCCTGCTAGGAGAAAAGTTCCTAGAGTCATGTTCCCCCTGTATCTATATCACACAGTCAGGGAGCATCATAACAAGGATCCTGCAATATTATGAATGTACAGGGTCACACAGGAACCCATAATCAAGCCAACCACTCATTTTATGGCTCAAGAGATAGCCAGCCCTACATCTGTTATGACCCCAAGTCTCCATCTTATAAAACCTGGTTTGAGGTCTTAAACAAAACTAAGGTTTCATCCAAATCATAAAGGGGCCATTTCTTTGTACTCTGATGCATGCCAAGCAACATATCTAGACCCATCTGCAACCTATGTGGAGGTCTCTCATGGGAAAGTTATTATACAGACTCATATTCATATGTGTACCACGGAAAGGGACCAGCCATTATTGATGCCCCTGCCCCAAATCATGACAAGACTCCAAATGGTTCTACTGGTAATGTATAACGTGGGCTACGAGCCCATTCGGCCTCAGATCCATTTGGCCCAATGATTCTGAGTCTTTGACTTGTTATATGAGCATATTCAGCAAGAGCTGGCTGAAAATATAGCCCCAAACCTTGATGTCTCCTCATGTTATGTCTGTGAGGGAACCAACGTGGGACACCAATGGCCATGGGAAGCGAGAGAATTGATGCCAGAAGACAATTTCACCCTACCCACATGTTCCCACAACCCCACGTTCACTTACTGGAGCATCTGGTATTTAAAAATCTCTATCATTGGTGGGGGAACTAACTTGTCTGGGGCAGTGATATTAATATGATACTCCAGGGAAAACTTTGTGTCAGCTAGAGACCCCAAATAACTAAAAGGTACACTCTGCCTCTACTGGGTCTGCAGATTATGGGTATACTGACAATTACCAGCTAAATGGTCAGGGGCCGTACATGGGGGACATTAGACATCTTTCTTTCTAATCCCCTTAAAACAGGGACAAACTCTGTGGTACCCTATGGAGAAGCCAATAAGGAAACTTAAAAGGCAACTAAAATAGGAAATTGGAAAGGTGATGAATGGCTTCCAGAGAAAAATCATCCAATATTATGGTCCAGCTATCTGGGCAGAAGATGGAATGTGAGGATATACATCCCTATTTACATCCCTCTTAACTGCATCATCAGATTACAGGCCATGTTTGAGCTCATTATATATTGTTTTGTGTCTAAAGAAATATGCATTGTTAATCTAAAGCTGAATTTTAACTAATTCTGTGCTTTTTCCTATTGGATTTAAAAATTTCATTTCATCTTTAATTGATACACAGTTACATACATTTATGTAGTACAAGGAGATGTTTCGACATATATAGAATATATATATATATATATATGATAAAATCATCCTAATGAACATATCCTAATGAACACCTTATGCATTCCTTTTTGTTTTGTGGTGAGAATATTTAAAACAGACTAGCAAGTCTGAAACATACACTTATTAACTATAGTTACCATGCTATGCTATAAACAATATTTTTATTTACTCTAACTTGCTATGCCAATGTGGTCTCCATTTGCATTTTTTTAAAGACAGGACTCACTATATAGCCCAGGCAGGCCTGGAACTTGAGGCAACCCTCCTGGCTCAGCTTCCCAGGGTGCTGGAATCATCATGCCTTGCTACTATTTGTATTTTTGCTGGGAGCCTTTAGGATGATTTTAGCTAACTCACAAGATGGACTGAGTCTGTTTCCTTCAGCCCTAGGTACACAAAAGATGCCCAGTCATCAGGCATCCACATCTTGGGTTGTTATAGGATGTAACAGCCTAAGTCCTATTGTTTGTCGTCTTCTGTTAGGGTTATTACCATACCCAGTAACTATTACTGCTACATCTATGTATATATACATATATATTTGTGTATAAAGTGGCAGCTAACATTGAGTGCTTCTGCTAGCTTCAAATGGGTTATACCACTTAAGTTTTACAATGATCTTATGAGGTAGGTTTTATTATTATTCCCATTTCATAGATAAAGCAATAGAAGTAAGAGAGGTTCAAAAATCATACAGTTACAGACAGAGTGATATGTAATCACTCAGTTTTGGCAGGAAAATATTTGAGCTTCCATGGAAGATGGCATATTGAGAGCATGTTTGACAAGATGATTGGATTCCAAATCTCTGGGAGTGGTTTCACCACTGTGTAAATTATGAATAGCTGACGGCGAAGCGCAATCACTCTGCTCCACAGACACGTGACTGACTGTTGGGGACAGACAGCCTCCCATATGGTGAGCTCAGGTTTGTGTCTGTCTGCACGCTCATTCCAACACTCTTGGTCTCCATGTGACTTTGTGGATCACTGGCTTTTATTTTGAACAGGTGGTAATATCTTCCTGGTTTCCTTGTTTAATTAATCAGCTAAGTAAATCTTATAATATGTTTGTTTACATTGGCATCAACTGATTTTGCCTTTTCACCCCCCAGTACTGGCGATGAAGGCCAGAGGTCTACTACTACTGAGCTACATTCCCAGCTCTTTTTATTTTTATTTTGAGATACCCAGGCTAACTACCCAGGCCAGTCTAGATCTTGTGATCCTCTTGGCTCTGCCTCCTTTGTAAAAAAAATATTCTTTAATAGTTTTAACTAGAAGACTTTCACTGAAGCTCATGGATGACAAAGAGGAAATAAACACAGGCAGTAACTTGAAGCCTAATAACCCGTAGTGGAGAGGGTGCCCATATCCTTTTTGGCTCTTGCTTGTCTGTTATGTGCCCTTAATCTCAGATGAAGCAGGGTATTGAGAATGACTTAGTCTTCCCCAAATCCAATTGCAAGACAGCAAAGAGTAGAGAGCATTAAAAAAATCACTTTTCAATCTGAGGCTCACTTCTAAGTTCAGCGCTGTCTGAGGACCTGACTCTCCCTGTGGACATCACCAGGATGGCCCATGCCCCTCCTGGAAGGAGGTCCTGAGAGTACTGTACTCCCCGTGGCCTCCCCTGGAAAACCTCAGAGGACAGTCAGGCTGACAGCCACAAAAGACAGTTACACACACAAGTGAATGAGGAAACGGTTTTATAGTATTGAGACTAGTGACTGTAAGTGCCGTGTTAAGTAAAGACAGAGAGACACAGATACACATGCATGCTTGTGTGCATCATGTATATCCTCTGTAATCCTAGCCTGGGGAGGAGGGTTGAGGCAGGAGGACTGCCACAAGTTAGAGGCCAGCTTGTCTGCATAGTGAACTCAAGGGTAGCCTGCACTGTTACAGAAGGATAAGACAGGAGGCCCTGTCTTATCCTCACCCACCCAAATCATCTAATAGATATGGTGGTACCTGCCTGTAATCATAGCAGATGGAAGACTGAGGCTGAAAGATTGCAAGTTGTGCCCAGCCCAAACAGTTTAGCAACTTAATGAGACCGTCTCAAAAAAAAAAAAAAAAAAAAAAAAAAAAAAAAAAAAGGCACCAAATACTGAGGCTTCCACTAGTAATGTTTTGTTTTCCCAGAGCCACAGAGTTGAAGTTTGACTCAGCAGGGTCATCAAAGAGGCTGCACAGGAACCACTCCCAAATAGAACTTTAATTTTCAGTGAATAATTGTCCTTTGTGACCTGGATAGCCCAACAAGATGGCCAAATAAATAATAATTATAACTCATAAAGCAAAATGAATCAAAACCTCACAACCTAAAAGAAACAACAGTGACTTTGTTTTCACTGGGTGACATACAGACGGGCTATACGGGATCTCTGGTCCAGGTACATATCACCAAAGGCAGGCAGAGGGCCCAGAGCATAGTGGCCCCCTTTAGAACAGCCATTTACACCACAAGGGGCAGAGGCATTATCCTGAACATGTGCTTGGCCCTCCTGGAGCTTTGGCACAGGACAGACAGGAAATTAATCACATGAGCTTGCAGACTCATTGGGCTGTATCATATTTATCACTTTAGCCCAAGAATAACGAGGCTCTAAAAAGGTAGTATTTTCATTTTCCCTGTTTTTTTCAGATTTAAGAAAACACACCAGTAAGCACGCTCTTGCAAATGACAGTGAAGATGTACCTTGCTTTCACTTTCATTGGACAGAATTTCCAGGGCTTCCAGGTGGGACAAACCTTGGTATTCATCAAACAGCATCCCGTAGTGTGGCGTTCTCTCCACTGTGAGCTGCTGGGCCAGCCTCTGCTTCTCTTTCTCCTTGGCTTCCCTTAACATCTGCAGAAACACACAATTTTGTGCATCAGACGTATGCTTGGAGCTCTGTTTCCTGTGTGAAACGTGGGGAGGAGGGCTGCAGAGGGCTGAGTTTGTAACTGGGAAGGTAGCTTTCTGGCCACTTTGAAGTTTCTAAAATGTTATTTTTTGACTGATGTCATTGATACATTGATAATATTCCATTTTGAATTTTGTACTTTCATTATGTGGAAAACAAAAACAAAGCTTTTATGTCCAGGAATAAGAGACTGGAAATAAGTGGATCAAAAGCTTCATCCTGGTTTCCACTTAAGTGTTTCCTATCAGTGGTCGATTTTCTTATTTTCTAAGATGTAACCATTTTCTATAATGAGCAAGTTTTAAACACAGTTAGTGTCTTAGTTACTTTTCTCGCCTTGCTGAGACAAAATACTCAACATCCAAAGTGAAAGGGGGAAAGGTTTATTTAGCTCACAGTTTGTAGGGGTTTCAGTCCATAATCTGCCGGCTCTAAGGCAGGCTGGCAGACAGGCATTGCAGAAGAGAAACAGTTCATGGTGGGTGGACAGTAGTAAAGGAAGCAAGGGACAAGACAAGCCTCTTTCTGTCCTTATATTGTATCCAGGCTACGGGGATTAGGGCATTGCCAAACCACTCAGTGAACTCACTTAGTAATCACCCATTCTCAATCCTAGCATTGCACCATGAATCCATCATAAACTCTAGATCCAGCTACTTCTGTAAAAGCCTCACCAACTGACTGTGTGAGGCTTTGGCTGAGTACGTGGGTGGGGGAACCAGGGGATGGGCCAACAGCATCTAGACACAAACCACAACACTTGGAAAGTCTAATCTCTTGAAGCAGAATTAAATGTAAATTCTTCACCTAGGCAGACTTCCAAGCAAAAATAAGCTGGTCTGATTGTTACATTATCTTAAAATTTTTGTTCAGTGAAAAGGATAAAGGCTTGCTTGATTTTGCTATATTCTACTTGCCACGAACTGTTTCTTCTCTGTGATGCCCCTCTACCATGCTACCCTGCCTCGGAACCAGCCAAGTACAGACCGAAACCTCTACAAACTGTGAGCCAAAATAAGTTTTTTTTCCCCCTTTAACTTTGACCAAAAAAACACACAACAGAAACAAACATCAAAAAACAAAACAAACGAACAACAACAACAACAAAAAAGAATAAAAACTGATAAAAACTACATACTGAATAGAAACAAGATAACAGATGCTCAGATAGATCTCCAGAAGTATGGCTGAACTGAATTTCTGTTCACATTAATAATGTTTCTCCAGTTATTATTTTGTTGTTTAAATAAAGACAACAAAACAAACACAAGTCCATCAGTCAGCCCTAATTTTCTGTGCTTGCCTTCTTTGATTCTAAGCATCTTTAATTTGATTTCTCATTAAGTTTACTGGGGCATTAAGTTTATAGCATCCCTTAATACCTGTGGTGAGCACCATAAATACTCTGGCCAACACAACAAGGACACCGGGAAGATCATTCAACAATAGAGCCTGGTGTTTATTGTGCGCCAAGAAAAGCATCAGCCTCCTTCTTCTTTTGGGTTTTTGAGGTTGTTAGCCAAGAACCCACTGTGCTGCATAAAGATTTCTCTCTCCTGTCTATCTTTAGGATGAATACAGTTCTCAACTTTAAAGTTTCCAAAACCACTTTGAGAAATTTTAATACTTGCAATAAAACTCAACTACCCACATTGATCTCAGGACTTGATGGTAGGAACATTAAAAAGCAAAATGACTCTGGGATTCCTTTCTTTCTACACCAGCTTCCATCTCTAATGGAAAGTCAAGAGGAAACATCATGCCAGAGTAATCAGGATTCACTCAAAAAGTAGGAAGTGGAACCAAAAGATGCTGGTTCTATTTTCCCTCTGGAAAACAAATAGAGATGGATTTCAATAGCAGGGAGAAATTCTGGCATGGAAAAATTCCTGCCACAGGGAAGCCATAGAGACTTAAATCGGTGGAATTCAAGAGTTATGCAGTCCCTGTGTTATTTGGAGCACATTCAGCATATTTTCTGCAGTTCTGGGATAAACTGTGTCACAGGATTTAGACAGTGCATGTATGAACATTTCAGGCTTGTACAGTACTATGTTTTTGCTATTGTTTGGATTTGAAGTGTCCTAAAAAAACTCAGGATTAAAGGTTTGATCCCCAATCTGTGGTGACCAAGTGGTGGAGGCAAGGCCTGGTGAAGGAGCTAAGATCACTGGCGTGTGGCCTTGAAGGAGATATTGAGACTCCAGCCCCTTTCTCTCTTTGTTTCTTGGCTGCATGAGGGGACCAACATTTAAAGCACATGCCCCCTGCAATGTGGCACTGCCCAAAGCAATAGAATTAGCTACTCGTGGATGGGAACCTCTGAATATAAACCTTTCCCCTATTTATTTATTTAGCAGTACTAGGGATTGAACCTAGGGCTTTTGCACTGAGATATATCCCCAATCCTTTTTCTTATGTTCTGTGTCTGAGACAGTCATGCCCAGGGTGGGCTCAATTTGTGATCTGCCTTTCCTGCTTTTAAGTTATCTCAGCTATTTTGTCACAGTGTCAGAAAGCTGACTAGTACACTATCTCTTGTGTGTAAGGGAAAAAATACAGCAAATCTCCTCAGGTGATGGCAACTTCACACTTTTAGTTGCTCCAGAGACCCTTGAGCCATTCCTGACGTGCCTTTTACCTCACAACCCATACTTGCTCCATACTTAGGATCAGTCATTCATCTCCACCTACAGAGCCTCCATACTGTTCTGAGCACCCGTTTCTATTGTCTGGATTGCATCAATTGCTCCTTGGGTTGGGTGTGTGAGTGAGCTCTGCAATTGAACTTCCTTCTCCATTGAGCATAAGGATCAAGGGTTCCAGCTGCTGGACTTGGAAATCCAGTCTTTGACCTGCCAGGCTCCTCTCTGCAAGCCCCTCAGAAACTTGCGACCAACTCTGACCTGTTCCTAGGAGGCTGGGAGCTCCATCACCAACAGATTCTTTTGAGAAAATAGTTGTAAAGATTTACCAGGCACAGTGTGATACGTTGATACTTGAGTGCAGGTATAGTGATCAAATCAGGGATAACTGCATAACTAGCATAACTGTCACCTCAAATATGTTTTGTTTCTTTGTGTTAGGAGCCTGAGAACTCCCCTCGCCCAGCTCTTTATAAAATCTGTATGTTGTGGTAAACTGAGGTTCCCTACTGCTGTCAGTAGACTTGCCTGAAGGACTCTACCAAGGCCTTGCCCAACCTTCCTTAAGCAGCACATATCTGGACATTCCTGCCTCTCTTCTCCCCTTCGCCCTTCATGGGGTTAGACCTGCATCTTGGTCTAACGGTTCTCCCAGTCTTTCTGAGCACTTGCCTGCTTTTTTTTTTGCACATAAGCACCTTCCCTAGTTGCACGCTGGCATATTTCAGTCCATCTTGACATCTGTTTTGGGAGGAATTAGAGTGACACATCTTCTAACAGTCTTCTGCCCTCATTTCTCCTTCTCCCTAGTCTATTTTCAACACAATAATTGCAGCAATCATTTTAAAGCATAAGCCAGTTCTGGTGATTCGTCTTCTGCAAATGCTGCAACAGTTTTGTGGAACTGAAGGTCTCTGCAAATGCCCTCCATGATCTGCCATCACCTGTGCCCAGCACCACTCTGGCTCCACCCTCAACAGTGCTTTCTCATAGTGTGATAGCCGTGCTGAGTCCCACCAGGAGCTCCTGACTCAGGGCCTTTGCTTGAGCTTCTCTCTCTACCTGGAATATGTTTCAACCAAGTGCCTGCACAGTCAGCCCTGTCCTTCAGGTCTCTGCTCAGTGTCACTGTCTCCATGAATGTCCCATCATGTCTCTGTTGTCCCCTATCATAGGCACTATCATCTTGTCCCTCTCTCCCACATTCTTCCTGTTCTGCAGCACTCAACATCTACTAAAACGCTAGGTAATTTTTATTATCTCTTTGTCTCTCCCAGAACCAAAGCTCCTTAAAGATACAGACTTTTATTCATTTTGGCTACCAACAAACAGTGCTTGGCACAGTATAGACACTAAAATGCATCTGTGAGTAAATGAAGAATGGGTGAAAATTTACTGCCTGGGAAGCGGCAAAGTCAGTGATGTGCCTGTAAAGTCAGGAGCATCGTGGTGACCTGCTGAGCTGCTTGGGTGTGCTCCAGAATGTCTGGGTCACACCTGCCAGAAGGGCTCAGATGTGAACAAACACCGCAGGCTACTATTGAGGTTCCTTAGTGACACATTTCTCTGGGCAGTGCACCTTTTAATAACAGACTGAATGCAGTTACGATTGAAAATTGTGAAGGCAGCATAAAAATTATGAAATCCAATAAACTAACCCAGTCCAATTCTTCATTTTATAGGCAAAAAGCCTGGTTAGCCAGCTTGTAGACTCAGACCCATTTCCTCTTACATCGCCACTGTCTTAACTGAAATAAAATGTACATATCCTTCTGAATGAATGTATACATACACATAAATGTTTGAATCAGATTCTATTCTAAGAAACTCACTGAAGGCCATGCAATTAATATGTGGTAGATCTGGAATACATACAATGGCATAAATAGTATAATCCTTAAGCAGTTATTAAATGAATGAATTAAAATACAAAACAGTGCAAAGAGTAGCATGATATCTATTACGGCTTGTGCTTAGATATCCTCTCAAAGCTCATACAGTGAGAGGTGGGGCTTTTTCAGAGGTGACTGGATCTGGAATGTGTCACACTGGAACTGATTCATAGTACAAAGCTAGAATCAAGGGTATGAGTATTAAAGGTGTGAGTACTACCCTCCCTAAGTAGTCGGATAAGATATAAGGAATAGAAAGGGCTGTGGTCAACCCTTGTTGCTTTGCTGTCTTCTGCCTACCATGAACTGTTTCTCCTCTGTGATGCCTGTCTGCCCTGCCACCCTGCTTTGGAGCTAGCTGATTACGGACTTTACAAACTGTTAGCTAAATAACCTTTTCTCCTTTAAGGTTGGGTGTCAGATATTTTGTCTCAGCAATGAAAAAAGTAACTAAGACACAATTTGGTTCTGAGAGTGGAGGTGTTGTGACTATATCTGACTATGCAGTTCAGGATTCTTTGGTATTGGCTTGTAGGAAGAGTTTGGAAAGGTTTGGAGATGCTGGCTGAAAAAGTGGAGCTGGAACACCTGAGGCTGTACTTGATGGGAGATTCTGGTCTAGAGCTATGAAGACCAAATGCTGATAGTAAAGATCAGGCTTGGAAGGTGTCTGCTGAGAAGAAAGACTATTTTGGCTGCTAGACTCTAGATGATGTGAGTTATGGCTTGGCAGAAAATTGGACTGCATTTTGCTCAGGTCCAGAGTCTTTGCTGAGACTGGGATTAAGGGTAGTGGACTAATTAATCTTGCAGAAGAAATTTCAAGGTAGTCTCACTGAGTATGTCAGTGCATGCCTATAATCTCAGCACTTGGAAGGCTGAAGCAGGAGCATCACTGTGAGTTTGAGGCCAAAGTGAGTTCAAGGTCAGCCTGAACTGCATAATGAAAGTTTGGGGGGGGGGGAAGAAATGGAAATTTCAAGGCAGATTAATGTTGAAGTGGTAGCATCACTACTGTTGGGGGTTTTTAGCCAGATTTATCTATCTATCTATTTATTTATTTATTTATTTATTTATTTATTTTAGCCAGATTTATATTTATTTATTTTTAGCCAGATTAAATCAAGAGCAAAGAGTCCAGCAGCATGATTCAAAGTGTTGTCGATTTGGTTCAGCAAAGTCCAGGAAGCTCCAGTAAAGCTGTGGACTAAAAAGATACAGCAGAGGAGATCTTGATTGCTGAGAGTGAATAGGAGAATAGAAAAGATGGCCTGAGGGCATCTCAAGAAGTAACAAGTCTCCACCCTTTGCAGTCTCAAAATTGTAAAAGTGAAAGACTTTGCATTGAGAAAAAAGCTACAGAGCACCACCATGTTCCAGAGAAGCAGTGACCTAGGTAAGTTGTTCCTTGGGATTAGGTTTATAGGCACTTGACCCTTACAACCAAGACAGAAGGAAGCCTGGCTACTGCTGTAATTGGCAGCAGATCTTGGCATCATCCACATGGTCCTAGTGTTAGGTGCATGCAGAATGCAAGAATTGTGGGGTCAGGAAGGCAACATTTCAGAAGAAAGCCTGGGAGGCCAGGAAGTGTGCCCTTGAGAGGTCAGTGTGTGAAACTGGGTGAAGCCAAAGACGCAGTGGAGACCCCAGAAGTTTGGAGAAGCCAGGAGCATGATTGTCTGAGGAAAACTGCAAGGAGGGAGCTGAGCTGGCCTCAGAGAGAAGCCATGGGGGCCACAACCATTGCAAGTGCTATAGGGACAGAGCTACCCAAGACCTTTGGAATTCACAACTTGCCACAGATTGCTGGACATGCTGGAAATGGAACTGTGGGAACTAATGTTTACTATGATGGATTTTGTCTTGCTTTGTTCCCATTCCTTGCTACCCCACTGTTTTTAACTTTTGGAATAGAAATGTCTCTCTTGTGCCACTGAATGTTGGAAGTGTTTTACTTTCTTTTCATTTGCATAGGTTCCTGCATCTAAGAGTTTGCCTTAAATCTCAAAGGAGATTTTGGACTTGGACTTTTCAGCAGGGCTGAAACTGTTAGGACTTTGGCAACTTTTGAAGATGGATTAAATGGCTTTTGCATAAAGAGATGTGCATGAGTCTTTGGTGGGACCAGAGGTGGAATGTATGACTTGTATCTAAATATTCCCTCAAATCCTCATGCAGTTGTGGCAGGGGGTCTTTTTTAGAGATTTCGGGATCTGAGTGTGAAATGCTGGGATTGATTCATGGTGCAATGCTAAGATTATGGTGCAACTGCATAAAGATTAAGGGTGTGAGTGCCACCTGCCCTAAGTAGTCTGGATAAAATGTAAGGGATAGAAAGAGCTGTGGTTATCTTTGTTGTTTGGCTACCTTCTGCCCACCATGATTATTTCTCCTTTGCCATGCCACCCTGCCATGGACTCAGCTGATTATGGGCTAAAATCCCTGCAAACTGTGAGCTAAATAAATCTTTCCTCCTTTGAGTTCGAGAGTCAGGTATTTTGTCTCTGCAATGAGAAAAGTAAATAACACAATATCTGTACATTCATGTACACAAGCATCTACACTTCTATATGTTTATGTACATAAACATATGCATATATGTCTATTTGTTTGAGAACTGAGAATAAATATAAGAAATTATTAACAGTGATGGTCTCCCTTGAGGAATTAAGAGGCTGGGGAAAGGGGTGTGTCAGAAACTCAATTTTTGGGCTGGGGATATAGCTCAGCAGCATAAACACCTGCTTGGCAAGCACAAGGTTCTTAGCTCAGTTACTGATACCAAAATAAACAAACAAAAAGAAACTTAATTTTCACTTTCTATTCTTTTTATGCTATTTGAATTTGAACATGTGCTTTAAATGGCCTTTTAAAAAAGAGACATAAAAACCTATTTGCTTTCTTGACTGAAAGAAGAAAAATATAGTCCAACCTGGGACAAGGAAACGGTTCTCTCCATGAGTGTCTTAGTCCGCTTAAATCCTGGGTCACTTTCTGCAAGGACATTCATAGTTTTTTTGCCAATGAATTCCAAAGCATCAAGGCCTCCCGTTAAGACGCTTTTGCCCTGCAGATGAGACAATTGCATGCGATTAGTTTTTTTACAATTTGTTGTTTTGCAGCAGTCAGCAGCTCCTAGGTAACTGGCACTATCTTCAAATATTAAAATCAATATAAAGCCATAATTTTTTCTCATCAGATTTATCATCCATTTAACCCTATTTTATTTTCCTTGGAAAACCATATGTTATATGATTTGGATGGTATGCAGTGTTATTAAAAAATGATGCTTAGGAAAACCAAAGCTCATTAGGAATTAATTTTATGAGCTCTGTGCAGATGATGCAGATGTATGTAATCTGTAAAATTAGCAGAGATTCCATTGTTGCTTTTGTGTAAAAACAGTTTAACCTAAGTAGCAGAATTTCTTGGATTAGTTTATTAAAATGTCAAACACTCCTGTTAATTTAGGAAGTTCTTTAATGTAGCACCCTGGAGTATGGGGCCCTCAGGCTGTCTCAGATGACTCATATTTTCAGAAATGAGCAAGAGCCACCAATAATTAATATATTAATGAAATAAGACAGGTTGATTTCCATGTTCTGTTATATAGTTATCGCTCTGAAAATTCCATTGTCAAATGCTGTTTCTTTTTAAAAAACTAACACAACTAAGAGTTGTATAATCTGTTTAGGGGAGTAGAACAGGATGCATTTCTTTGAAACCACTTCTGCTCATAGGCCCCAACTGTGTCACTGCAATTACACTCTGTATTATTCCGTATTTTTCACCACCTTATGTAAAATTTATCTATTTGATTTTTATATTATTGTCTACATACATTTTCTAGTCTTCATAATTACCATTTAAATAGCAACATTCAACTTTACTGAATTAATATATTTTATTAATCATTTTCACCTTGGACATTCATCCTTTTTTCAGATATGTGAGCCAATCAATAATCATGCCATAAAACAGATTTAAAAATGCACAGCTGGGTAAGGTGATGCATTCATATAATCCCAGCATTCTGGAAGGTTGGGGCAGGAGAGTCTCATGTTCAAGCCCAACTTTGGCAATTTAGTGACGTAGTGGGATCTCATTTCAAAATATAAAATGAAAAACAAGCAAACAAACAAAAAGGGTTGGGGATGTAGGTCAGTGCAAAGGCCCGGGATTCAATCCCCAGTATGAGGGGGACAAAGGAGACAGATATTTATCAGTTAAGAAAGGAAGATATGTGGGCTGGTAGTGTGGCGAAGTTGCAGAACACCTCTTAGCACCTGCGTGCAAGGCCCCGAGTTTGATCTCCAGCACCACAGAACGAAACAACAAAAATTTCATTTAAATTAAAGTAAATCACAAAAAGAGAGGCATTAACTTTAGCATTATTCAAGGAAGGGACAGAGTGGGAATTAGAACATAGGAATGGGGAAGGAATGTGGATCTTTTTATCTGGAAACATTTCAGAAATATATTGGGTATTACCCCCGAGTCCCTACTGTTCCTTCTTTATTTGAACAGTTTTATTTGCATATTTTTAAATTGAGGGTTACAGAGATAAACCAGCCAGAAAAAACAGCTGTCTAGCTCTTCCAGAAGTATTCTCTCCCCCAACCAGGAACTGTCCTTGCAGCAATTGGAAAGTGTTAAATCAGGTTGAAAAATACACTTTCTAAACAGCTCTTTTCTTTTAAACACAAACTGTATTTCATGTTGCCCTTATTATTTTGAATCCAAGGTTACACCTGCTCTGCAGCAGAAAGTATAACAAAACCATAATCCAAAGTCATGAGCAAGGCCATCTTTTCTCTGATGTATCTAGGTCACGGGCAAACAGGGACATCAAAAGGAGCCAGACACCAGGGAAAACAGGAAGCAGCTTTCCACTCACAGTGTTCTGAACCACATTGGTGAGGGCGGAGAGCATGCCCCGAGAGCCAGAGCCCGCTGCAGGAGAGGTGGGGGTGCTTCCTGCAGGGTCTTGATCTGTAGCCACATCTGTCATGTGAGAAAATAAATCCTGTTAGGATTCATGATGCTGATGTGAACTTAGGAACTGACTAAACATGTGCACAGTGTATTGGAGCCAAGAACCCCACGGTCATCGTCACACTCACTTTCAGGGACTCTGGTTTCAGCATCAGGTTGGGCCCCTTCGGAAGATCCAGAGTTTACACTGTGAATTCGTAGGGTGGCCCCGGCCTTTTCCTTGACTGCTGTCAATCCATGACCTGTCAGAAATAAATACAGGGTTCATATACACTAGGAATTCCTGGGCTGGGCTGGGCGTGGCCCGGTGGTACAGAGTTTGCCTAGCACATCCAAGGCCCTGCTTAGATTACTAGAACAACAAAAAACGAAAAGATAAAAATTCGCAACCTGCAAATTCTCTGGCTAATCTTACAAGGCTATGTGAAGTTGCAGATGTTTGTCTTGATCTTGACAGAATGAAAGTAGTTAAAACAGACTTTGGATGGTTGAGTGGCCCCAAGAATTTACCTTGTTTCTCTGTGAATATTTTCTTACTGGGTCTCTGTGAGGAGCAAATGATAAACACAGGGAGCAAAGGAAGAAATGGCGAATGCTTAAATATAAAAAGCTTGTACAGTAAAAGACACAAGCCAAGAAGGATGGGGTAAGTATGTTCACAGTGAGAGGGAGTATTTTGAGGAGAATTAATGGCAATGTGTCTTGTACTGTAATACATTTTAAAAAACAGCCAGTGTGTTTTTTAAAATCATGCCTCATACATTAAAGAGATCCCAGATGTTTTATTGTTCTCTTTTACTTCTTGCAGTGTTGGCCTCAATCTAGGATTCCAAACTCAAGACAGTGTCTTTGAGTGGCGAGCCTGACTTACCCTGCTGACGCAGTGCCTCAGAGCAGATCCACATCATTCAGTTTTTGGTGCCATGCGGGTTTGATTCCTAGCACACTGTAAATGCTCAATTAGTATTGGCTGAACTAAAATCAGTTGAGCTCAGTATTTTCCTTCTATGTCTCAGTTAGTCCAAAGGGTCTAAGCTAACATCTCCACATCGAAAGGTAAGTAGTGAAAACCAGAAAGGCCACAAGCAGCTAGCGATTGTCTTGGGCAGTAATGGTCCAAGTCAGGCCTAAGGGCACAGGTTTTACTTCATTAGAGCAGGGCAATACCTGTGTCCCCTGAGCCCAGCACAGTGTGGATTCAATATCCAAGGGTGAATGCAGAGTGGACTTTCCCACTCACACTGAACAAAATCCAGTGCTTACTTAAAAGAGCAGTTGCACTGTCTGTGTTTTGTTCTGTAGAAATCTCCCCTCCAGGTCCCAGAGGTCTGGAACCTTTCTGAGTCCTGGGTCTGATGATGAAGGATTGAACAGCCTCTGCCTGGTCCCAGTGGCTGTGTGAACTCTGAAAAACAGTGCTCCCAACCTCACACACAGGCAGAAAATGGGATTTCACCTGGGGCCTCACAAGGCCACAGCAACGTTAATATGTGGGGGAAAAGTCCCAAGTCACAGCAGGACCCAAGGCTTAATAAAATCACATAGAATCAGAACACACTTGAAATGACCAGTTGCCTATGTCCTAAATAAGATAAACACATGAATGAATCCAAACCCAGGGTAATGTTGCAATTGTAACCTTATTTATCAGAGAAATCTTAATACAAAGTACTTATATCCAGTGAAAATTACCTGTCACTATACATTACCTAGAAACCTGTGTAACTTAAGAAACACAATTTGCAACTTTAATTCCAAGTATAAATAAGTTTATACTTATATACAGATCATTGGACACAGTTCAAACTCATGCCCAAGTTCCTTGAAAAAATAAATAGCTAAAACTAAGACCTGAATGAATTCTTTCTGGATTTGAATGAATTCTGAGTATTTCAGTGAAAACTTAACTGAAATTTTGGTCACACATGTTAAGTCATGGGACAGGATCATCTCATTCATTTACATACTGCATCCACATTCCTTAACATTTTAAGAAAGCACACATATTTTCAAATGGGAAAATATACATCGAAATCTCAACCCATGATTCTCATCTAGATTCCTGAGAGCCAAAACCAAGGAACAAATGAGTTCCAAGAGGTGGGGAGGCACCATCTGCTTAAACCATCAGAAAGGTGACTGTACCTCCCTCCCCAAGAACATTTCGGAGTTTAATTAACCTCAAAGTCATTATCTCCTCTTTCCCCATCTCCACGCCTGACAACCGAAGGTCCTACTGGGGGTTCTCTGCAGGTATAGCAGTTTCTCATCATCTCAGAACACAAATGGTCATGAGTATCTGTGCATAAGCTGCTTCCAGAACAATTGCTCTGTCTATGGAAGGAAGTACCATTTTTATGTGCATAAAATGGAGTGTCTATTTAACAGATACAAAAACAGGCTGCTCCTGCAACTGTATCTGCCAGTTAATGTTTCTTTTCTAAATGTTTTTGTTAGTAAAAGCACATCTTCACTGCATTCTAGTAGAAATATTAAGTTAAGCTTTGTCATTTTTCACAGCGAAGGTTTGCACGCTAAAGCCACACCCTACTTTGAGGAGTAACTTCTAAAACTTTACTGAGTGTGACATCTAGTGCCCAGAACAAGAAAATAGTAGTATGGAGTCATGCTAACTTTTGATGGGGAGTGATTCATTTCCAGGGAAATTCACTAGACTGTATTGATAGAAGAAAAATAATAAATATGAATAATACTCCAGGGTAAAGTTCATGAAGTTTCTTCATGTTACCACAAGCCTCAGAAAACAAAATCCCTCTTAATTTCATAGACTAAAGATGGAATATCCTTTCCTTTTGTTATTGCAGTAAAATGTGAGTACTGCAAAGAAGTATAACAAGAATGTTGTATAAATGCTGTGATACTGTAGCATTTTAAAACAAATGTTAAATGATTGGATGGTGTTTCATTTGTCACCTGTACTGTAATGGAAAATGTCTTAAACTTAGGAGTCCTGGAGGAATTCTGGTTACACTGTTCATTAGCTGTGCAGTGTGGGTGAGCTAGGTAACCTCTCTCAGTCTCTGCAGCTGCATCTTTTCTGAAAGGTTTGTAACATCTGCTCTCCTGGGCCCCTAGCAAACATCATTCCACTTTGATGATTTTGTGAAGTCCATTCAAAATCACAGACACATGAACACTGCTTCTGCTAGTGCCCCGTATAAGTGGAATTGTATAGTATTCGTATTTTTGTGACTGGCCGATTTTACTGTGCATAGTGTCTTCAAGGTTCATTCATATTTAGCATAAGTCAGTCTTTTTAAGGTTGTATGATATTCGACACCACTTTTTGTGTAGCTTCATCTGTTGACTGATGCTTGAGTTGCTTCCATGTGTTAGCTATTGTGAATAGTGATGCTATGAACATGGTGTAACAAACATCTCTTGAAGATATTACTTTCAATTTTTGGATTATACATCTAAGAGTGGAAATTCTGGATTATATATTCTATTTTTAAGTTTTGGAGGAACTTTTATACTGTTTTCTACAGTGGATATTGTATTTTACATCCTTACCACAGCACATGTGGGTTCCAATAACCAACATGCTTATCACATTTATTTTTGGTTTTTTAAAAATAATTGTCATGGCAGGAGGTGGTAGCACATTGTGGGTTTGATCTGCTAGTCTTTGATGATTAGTGAAATTGAGCATCTTCCTATATGCTTATTTATAAAGTAAAACATAATATTTACAAAGACAAGCATTATAGAAATCCAAACAACAGAACGTGGACCAGACTTTTTCTATCTAGGCAACTTGCAGAGATATAATAGGCAACACAATCTATGAACTTACAAGGGACTACAGAAATAATTAAGACCTGACAAAAACTTTGGCTTTAAAAAACAAGAAAGAAAACAGCAAATGAGATACTAATACCTACCTGAATTTAACTTGTCACTCAAACTTGACTCATACAGATATATAAATAATATTTAATAAAGGAGTATGGACTCACTTTAACATATTCCCTGAGATATAGGAGGAATCTACAAAATGAGGAGTGCTTGGAGCTTTTAAGACTTTAAGTAGATCTTTCTCCCCTTCTTTATAAAAATAAAAAAAAGAATTTTTTATTGTGATCTCCTTTAGGAAAGAAAAAAGCATATGCCTACATACAAATGCTCCGGACCTGGCCATACGCAGCAGAAATCTCAGCCCAGGCAGTCGGGGTGGACAGTGGGAGGCTGTGCAGGGTCTGGGGTCGCAGTGCTCCCCTTCCCGATGCTGGGAGCACCATCTACTGACTGCTCTCTATAGAATGTCTCCCTGGAATTGTCCTTGACCAAGGCAGTTGGGTTCCCAGACTGTGCTACAATGGCTGATCAGTGAGGGCAGCTGGTGATACAAAAGCCCGGTTCTGCGCACTAATGGGGATATCCTGAAGAGTCACCGCAAACCCTGAGCTTATGATGGAATAGGCTGAGTTCTCTGTTGTGGGGGTGCTTCTCCCTTGGTCCCATTTTTCTTTCCAATCTGTTGCTCTCTTGAAGGTTTGTTTCTGAGAGTGCATCCCAGTGAAACTCCAGCTCATAACCTCTGCCTCAGTCTCTGTTCTGGGAATCAAACCTAGAACTATGATCTACTAACTTTTTACTGGTTGCATAGCATTCTACTGAATGGATAGATTACATTTTAAAAGCTTTTTATGGATAGACACTTTGGTTGCTTCAAGTTTCTTATATGTGGTGAACCCTTTTACCTTCTCCAGATCCTCATCCAAATACCACCTCATCAATGTCTACCCTCACCACCCTCTTTAAAACTAAACTGTACTTCTGGCTGTTACTTTCCTGTTGTACTTTGTATATTTTATAGACTACCATCTTTTGACACTCTACATAATTTTCCTATTCAATACATGCACTGTTTATTGTTTATCTTCTTCCACTAGCATCAAGCCCTATTGGGGATGGGGCTTTGTCTCATTTGCTTATTGCTTTACCTCAAATGTCTGCAACACTGAACACCTGTGTGAATGAACTTTTGCAAACCAAAACAATGTGACTCCTGGGCGACAAAGTGTGAACACTTGAAGATTTAGAGTGATTAGTGCTCTTCTAAAAATTTGTACCAATCAGTATACCCTCCTCCTTGGGTGAGTTTTAGAAAGGGAGCAATTAAAAAATCTTGACTACATTTTAGATTCTATTGTGAATTTAAGGTTGTGAAGAATAGTTGTTCAGAAAAGTACATGATTGATGCTACCATGCTCAGCTA